ATATATTATAAATAAATGTATTGTGTACTTGTGCGTATGTGTGTATATGTGTGTCTGTGAGTGAATTTATAGTAATAACTTCTTTATGATCGAATATTATTCATGTATAAAACGCGTTTTGAAATTAATATAACGGTTTATTGTCCACATTTGTGTAAGTTGTAATTGAATCCCATATGACTCGGCCAGTAGCAATTATTTACGTTTACAAAGGTCTATAAAAAAKAATTGTTTCACTCGCCCTCCAATCTCTACGTAAAAGTCATCAGGCTAGATAATCGAATAATCATACCTAAATAATCGTTCATAGTTTAAGTCTTTCGACTCCATAACAAATAGATTTAAATTTTGTTAAATATTTTTTTATTATTTTTTCACGTTTCAATTAATTTATAAGTCAAAAGAAAAAATAGTTTGTAATGTTATCATTGTTGGGTTGGTAGATCACTATTTATAAAATTTACAGCACAAATATTAACTTGAAATAATTTTATAACATAATCAAAAAATGCTTCCATCCATTTATACTTATAGTCAACAATTTCTTAACACGTACATTTAAAGTTGGAAGTGAACAATAAAAATATTTTATTTCATTCGCTACTTGGCGTCCCGTGAAATTTACTTTACAACGTCTGAGTATTATAAGTAGGAAAAATCGAAATTTGACCCTTTTAAATTCGAAAATATGARCACTAAGTAATAATTATAGGTACCTACGTGTTTATTTCAAGTAGTTGGTCGTAGAAAACGTATACCTACTTATTATATTCTTTAACTTCTAAGTGCGTGCTGCACCACTAAATCAGATGTTTAGATTTTGYGTATGCTTGCACGTACAACTTATTTATGACAGTCGTAACCTCGTAACATTTCTTAAGTAAATAACCTTTTTTCATACATTTCTTAATTTCGTGTAAAATTTGATTTTTATGTTCCAAAATAAATGCGACATAAATTATTTGGCTTGATTTATGGTAGGTCGTATATTTTAACTGAGGTATGTAAAATGATATTTTCAAAAAAGTTACAACTTAAAATTAATAAGTGCGTAGACAGTACTGGMCACTTTAATAGGTCGTCTTGTGCATATCATACACAGTACKTTCATATCCATRTAACATCTATACAACAGTATATATCCTTCATAACGCGACTTCAAATTATATATCATTTTGTAGATCGAAATAAATAGTCGACAGCAAATATCTCGACCGCATTGGTCTCGCGAGACGTTTTCGAAACACGCGTGTCCCACAAAARCTCACAAATATACGCAGACACTCYAACACATACACACACAAACACACATACACACTCACAAACAAACACGCACACAAACACTTGTGGTGTATTGGCCGCAGGTGTTGCCCGGCTCGCTTGCCGAACTGGTGGACTCGGAAGCGTTCGAACGGATCTGGCGCAAGGCCGCCACCGATCAGATGGTCAAGAAGTTCGGGAACGGCGCGGGACGGGACGGCGGTGCGATTACGCGCAACATGGTCGGCGACTACATAGTGTCGGACGAGTTCCACCAAGCCGTGTGCAAGGCCGGCGGATCGGGCATGTCGTCCATGGGCGGCATGATGGGCAACGCGCCGCCCCCGTGGTCGTACATGGGAACGTTCGTCGGTTCCGAAAAGTTCCAGCACGGCACGTGCGACATGATGTCGCAGGGCATGCTCCAGTTCGGTGAGGGCATGAACGGATGGTTCCGGTCGGCGGACGCCGAAGCCGACGCAGTAGCGCGGGACCCGTCGCGGGCGGTCGACTTGTTCTTCCGGTCCGAGTACTACGACGACGCCCGGAAAAATCTACGTGACATGTTCGCGGACGTCCGGTTCTGATAAATTCGAATTTGCCGCGGTGGATCTACAACTGCTGTTATTATATTATATTTTACACGATATTATCAACATATAATGTCACATAATATTATGTTATTGTCAATAATGTTATCGTCGTTGTCATCATCATCGCCATCACGATAATTAGATAATATGACACGTTTCGACAATAATAATAATAATAATAATTACTATAATATTATGTTATGCACAACTATATTATTATTCTAATAATGTCGATTAAGAAATTCGTGGTATGATATCAACATATTATACAGGGCGATTCTTTTAAGTGGGTACACTAATTATCTCGAAAAGTATTTACTTTTTTCAAAATATTTTTTTACATGGTTTCAAGTTTTTAAAAAACCAACGTTTTTATTAAAAAA